TCTATTTGTGCTTATTTGGGCAATTGAGAATAACAGGAAAAAAAGCTATTTACTGTTTCTTTCTGTCCTTCCTATATCTATAGAAAATATGGAATCAAGATCCAGGGAATGCACAGATGTCTCCTTTGTTTCTGTTTTCAAACACCATAATGAAGCATGTCCAATGTCCTGGCTTCACCCAGTCCCCGGTGGTCTCTGACAGAAGCCAGATGCTCAGGTTTGAAGGACATTAGTATTGACTCAGTCTTGCCAGTTTTTCTCAGATCTGAATATCTAGCCAATCCTGCATTCCATAACACCTCCCAGCACACTCTTTGTCCACATCTGAGATCACTACTTGAATCCTCAAAAATCCCCTCATTGAATCTCAACCTCTTTTCTTGACTTTCTTTATAAATCTGTTCTCCATTTGTGGTAGGCAGAGTAGTCACCCCCCACAGATGCCCCTGGCCTAATTCCTGAAACCTGTTAGGTTACATGGCAAGGGTGCATCAAGGTCGTAGATGGAATTGAGGTTGCCAATCAGCTGACCTTAAGAAGATCTACCTGGATTGTCAAGGTGGCTCGGTGTGATCACAGCCATCCTTAAAAGTGAAAGAGGGTGATAGGAGAGAGAGAGCTAGAGCAGTGGCAGTGTGAGATGGACATGGGCAGCACTGCTGGCTCTGCAGATGGAGGAAGGGCCTTGAGCCAAGGAAAGCAGCCTGCTGCCAGGAGGCAGGAAAGGCAAGGCAACCAATCCTCCCCTAGCACCTCCAGAAGGAAAGCGGTGAGACCCATGCCAGTCTTCTAATCTACAGAATTGTTCAGGTAATAAATCTGTGTTTATTTTTACTTTTGAGCCACTAAATTTGTGATGGTTTGTTACAGCAGCAATAGGAAACTAATTTACCATACTGTTCTCTCCTCCAGCATCTCCCTGTCCCCCACCCACCACTGGTCTAGCTCCGTGCATCTTCTACAGGTGGCCACTACAGTGGTGTGCTTGCTTACTCTTTACATGACTGTCACCCTGGTGTTGAAACCCCACCCCTGGGTAAACCCTTACTGTTGTGTAGCTTCTTAATGTTCACACTACTGCAACCTTATATCTGTGCCATGGTAACTCTTCCCAATTTCACTACCTCTTACTCCCCCAGGCCTGTCTTCACCCTGTTAGTTTTAGCAGATGATCTCACCCCTCCTCCACTGATAGGGTTGACACCATGTCTTGAGCTCCCTGCACTTTCAGGAACTCTCTATGACACCCAATTATCCACTCCCAGGTTTGCCTCTCTAGGCCTCTGTGTGGCATCTGACAGTGTCAACAACACCTCCCTTTAAGGTTTTTCCATGGCCTCTGTGACCTTACATTCATTTTCTCATCTATTTACCTTTTCCCCCTCCTAATGCCATTGTTTTCCACTCCTTAAATCTAAGCCTTCCTTAGGTTCTATTCTTCAGAGATCACCACTAGCAGGGGTTCCTTCACATCCGGCCGTCACGCCCCTCCAGGCCCCAGGCATCCTGCTGGATGGCACCTTCTGTTAGTCCTAATGCACACAGAGAGCGGAATCTTCTCTCAGCGCACTTGTGTCTGTGATTGTCTCAGATGCAGGAGCCAAGAGCCTGTGTTCCGGGCACTCTCGGGCCTCTTATGGGAAAGATGCGCTTGGGTTGAGGTCAGTGCCGGTTCCTCATTCCAGCTCCCGCCTCCAAAGTTTATGCAGCGTGAAGTGGGCTAGGCTGAAGGGCTTGTGTTTCTTTTATTCCTCTGGGCTTTTGTCACAAGTACTTCCTTATTGGACTGGGATGCAGTTCATACAGCCAGAGTGGCTTCTGAGGAGCACCTGGCCAACCTTCCCTTCTGGCAGTAGACACTTCAGGTTCCTGTAAACAGAGGGAGGGCCAGGGTTTGGGCAGGTATAAAGGCCTATGAGGAGGCCTGGAGCTGGAAGTGGAAGTGTCAGTGTCACTGAGAGACAGGGACAACCTTGAGATGGTCCTGGGTTCTCACTTGAAACACTGGAGGTGGAGCCCCATCCTGAAGCGCCTCAGAGTGGCCCTTTCCCACGGCAGCTCACGTGTCTTCCTGGCTCTCTCCAGGGCCAGAAACCTCTCCAGGGCTTTGCGGACTGTGTGCTGCAGAACGCGTCTTGGTAAGACACTCAGGGAGTAGACATATAATTGGCTAATTATGTGAGACATATAATTGGCCATCTTTACAACTCACTGCAAAAAGATCTTTAGGAAGCCATGTGAAACCTTACTTTGGGCTATAATGATGTAAAGCCAATTAAATTAGATCTTTAGAATTTGCCAGTTGCCTCTCTGCTATCCCTATTGAGCTGGTTGTAAAACGCGGTGTTCAATGTGTGGCTTTGACAGGTGCATGTGATGTTAAATCAGTGGAAAAAAAAGTGTTCCCTACAATCAAACACATCAGGCTCATTGCTGTATACCAGGAAGTTTATTCAACCATATATACAAGGTATCATATTAAGGCACAGGACATTCAAAGATGAGTACACCATGGTCATTACCTCCAAGATCTCAAAATCTTAGACTCTGAAAGGAAGGTGTTTTTTTTTTTTCCTTTTAGTAATAATATTACATGCTTGACATTTTTCTAGCCTACCCACTTGCACCAATAGAAGGTAATTTAATTTTTTACTAATTCAAGCATACATAGTTAAATTTATCCTGAAAGGTTCAGACAGCACACATTTTTTGTTTTTGCAGTTGGACACGATGTAAACTCCTATGTGTTGGTGGCTTAAAGTAGTGTTCCCCATTGGGACCAGAGGTGACTACAGCTTATGGAAGGGTGTGCACAGATGGAAAGAAAGGAAGCGCTTCGTAGGCTTTACAATAGGAAGCAACTATGAAACAATATAAAGAGACTATTCTGAAAGTGAGAGCACCTAAAGTGACAAGTGTTTATTATGATAGCGAGAAGGGCAGAAGTATGCAAAGAAAGTAGAACTGAGATAAAAGGAGTGAACAGCATTTAACCTTATGCCAAAAGTTATCGTGGGAAGAGTATGTCTGGGAATGTTAGCCTGGGTATTCATCTTCCATGTGAACAAAGCGAAAGCAAACAATTAAAATTTTTCAGATTCTTTAGAAGGGAAAAAGAAGGAAGAGTATTGTTAACATTTTATTTCTTACCTACCAAGAACTATGCAAAGCAGTTTTTACATTTGTTATTAAATTTGTAAATATTGTGATTGAATTTTTGAATTATAGAGCTATGTAGAATTTTCTTAGCTGGAGATCTAAAATCTATAGTCATTAGTCCCATCTTCCTGAAGGAATTGAGATACGGCCATCGAAAGGTTGGGAGGTCATTTTTTTTATAGTCTAGAGGAATTTTCTGGGTTTCTTTGATTCTACAAATGGATCTGATTTGAACATATAGATGACTAGAGCAGGATTCTAATGGCAGCTTCTATTTAAATATATTTTTTCTTCTTGGTTTTAAATTTTAAATAATGTAAAGGGAATATTGAAAAGTCAGATAAGTCCTATGTGAATTAATTTTTATTTTTATGTTTCTGTGTTACCTTTCGCTTTGTAGCCAGTATGCCCATCTTTTGTTATGTGTATGAAATGATACCATTGATACATTTCTGTATGTTTGTGTGTGTTTGTAGTATCTAGGATGTAGAGGGCTGAGTTTATCACCCTTCTTGGATCCTGGTGTATCATCACTGGTCTGAGCTGGGCTTCTTGTTATTCATTAATTCCCTTTTTTCTCATTCCCCACTCCCATTTCTCTCCCCATTTCACACCATTCTGTTGTGTTCAATGTGTATAGGCTTTTATGTATCCTTAAGAAATACTTTTGCTTGTTTTATGTCCATCTGTTTTAAATGTACATAAATGATACATTTGTGTACATCCCATTCTGTTTCTCTTGATGTAAATTTGTTATGTATACTTCTAGCTTGTTATTTCTAGTTACTGTCTGGAATCTCAAGAGTTACCACATTTTACTTACCCTTTAGCTCACCACTGCCACAGATAACCCTGGGATAAATATCCTCAGGAAGGTCACTTATAGTATACATAAAGTGTATATCTCTTGGGAGAAGATGTGTATCTGTGAGTTAAACTTCTGGGTCATATGAGCTATATATACTTAATTCTCTGGAATGACTGAACCAGTGTACATTCCTAGTAGTTCATATTTCTATCAACATTAGAACTATGCAGCTTTCTGATTTCACCAGGCTAATAGGTATAAAATGACATATGGATTTAATGTGCATTTTTCAGATCACATATAAGTTGGAGCATCTTTTCATGCTTAATTCAATTTATATTCTTTTTGTCACTTAAATTTCTATCTATTGCAGTGTATTTCTGTGGTTTTTGATATATGGGTTAATATATTGAGATATATTTAACCATAGCAATTAAGTTATATGCTGCTGCCAAAAATGCTGATGGCCATTTTTGACCCCCCAAAAAGCAAAATCTATGGTCCAACTTAATATATTATTGGATATATAGGTCTTTCCAAGTTTTCATTATTATAAATAACATTGTAATAACCATATGCTGTGTTATATAGTGTTTTTTTCTTTTGAATTTGTCCTTAGGATAAATTTCTAGGAGAAAGATTACTGAGTCAGAGAATGAATATTTTTGTTAATACTACATATTGCCAAATCACTTTCTAAAAGGGCTGGTACTGACTTACATTATGCATCATTTATATTATGACGATACTGGTTTTACTTTAGCTTCATAAACATTATACATTACCATTTAAACTATTAATAACTATAAAAATTACCTCATTTTTACTTAATTATAGCTAATGTTAATCACTTATTCAGGTGTTCATTGATGAATAGTATGCTTCTGTGAGTATGGTCTACTTGTGCCCTTAGTTCATTTGTCTATTAGTGTCTATTTTTCTTAGTCAATTTGAAATGGGTTTTCACATAATATAGATTTATCCTGTCTTCTTAAAAATGAAATTATTTATTTATATATAATTTATTCTTCAGATGACAATCAAAACAAAACACATGATAAAAAAGAGAAGAAGATGGTGGTTCAGAAGCCCCATGGTACTATGGAATATACTGTAAGTATAAACAAAATATGTGAACATTGTAATACTACTAGGTTTACATATTGTTTATCCCTGACACATTCTGCCTCTCTGCTGCTTTACTCTTGTGTAGCCATTAAATATTGAAGCTTCTTAAGACTGGTTCTAGATCATTTTTTTTCCCTGCATATTTTCTCGTCAGGCAATCATGTAAACCAGTTTCTTGAGAATATGAGGAGGGTGATCTGCTGGCAACCTCTGTCATCCTATTGATCACCAGTGTTGCATAGGCCAATCTGGCTGACAAAGCAGGTGTCCCCTTCTTCCCTTTTGCTTCATGTGTCTCCCCCTTAAAGCTGTGATGAAGAGGGTGACCTTCCTCAGTAGAGGAGGACTCTTCTTCAGTCAAGGGTATTCTAGTAACTGTGGTCTACTACTAGGACCTCGAAACAAACCGATGACTTTATCTTTGATATGACAGTGACTACCAGATTTAGATCTCCATCCCAGACACCTTTTCTAAGTTCCAAAGCCACCTATTCAGTCGACTACTCAACATGTCCACTTAGTTTTCCATACCTGGTCCTTTCTCAAGAAGCAGTGGCTTCATCATTCGTACATTTATGCTTTGCAGATCCTTATCCTTGACATCTTCTTCCCTTTACTGTCCATGTTCATTCCTACCTTTTGTGACTATCGAGCAAGTCTAGGCCAGATCCTTTCTTTTTATACTTTCATAGAATCAATGTTCCTTTACATAATTTATCTCAGTTTAACATTATTGATTTATTAGTGTGATTGTTATTTTGATGTACATCTCATGGCTTAATTTATATATACATGGAGAGACACTAGACCCGATTTTGTTCACCATTGTATTCCTTGCACCTTGAAGGGGGTGTAGGCCACCATAGTGTTGAATCAATAGATGAATAATAGATGAGTATGCATGTTCCATTACTGTAACTGCACGCTTGTGTCAGCTCTCATCTCTCTCACTGCACCGCAAGCTCCTGGAGGCCATGAGCTGTATCTTATGTATCCTAGACTTGGCACAGAGTGAGCACTCAGAGATCTGTTTTAATTCACTATGAAATAGCACCGTTGATGAATGTTCTCTTTAACTTCCAAGAGGAAACTAAGTGCTATTGTCACTACCCTTGTTATGTTTTACAAATGTGTACTTGTTTTGTACTTACTATTTGTGTGCCATGCCAGGCCCTATATAAGGTAAGCAGCAAGGTCTGATCCTTCTCTGGTGTTTCCTTTGGAATGGTAGATCTTCTCTAAGCCTCTGCAGACTCACATTGAATTGCCTGCCATAGGCATTTATTTTGGGTTCAGTGCCCTGTGAACATCTCTAGGCATTGTTCTGGACTGTCTAGGCCCAGGCATTTCAGAAAGGATTTGGGGTAATTATATCTCACATTTAGACAGTGGTCTAAAATATGTTGTTGACGCTCCTAACACTCAGTATAGTGCCTTATCTCAAAATAAGCACTCGAGAAGGATTGGATTAAATTATTTATTATTAATAATAGTATTAGTTCTAGAGCCGTAATCCTTGAGATCTGCATGTATTCATCCACCAGTACGATTGACAAGCCCCTCCAAAGAATTGAGAAGTGCTGTTTGCTAAGAGTTGCTTCGCATAGTATATACTTCTAAACAATGCAGTGGCCGTAAAAACCAACTTCCAAATTAATAAATATAAACAAGGGATCAAATTAGTATGCCTGCCTGTTTGAATTATATGCTATGGAGAGACTTATTTTATTTTAGTTTTTTGTTTTTGTTTTTTATCTGTGGAATCTTTTTTTTTAATTTCAGCATATGAGAGATTTATTTTATTTGGCAAGTTATTTTTATACTTTCCTTGGAAATAAAAGATAACTCACATAACTTTGTGTGTAGAGAACTTGCTCGCACTTCCTGGATTGCTCACATTGCTCCTGAGCTGTGGATATTCAAGCACCTGGTTTCAAGCATTTAATGATACCAACATCCCTCAGAGGTCCTCAAACTTTTTAAACAGGGGGCCAGTTCACTGTCCCTCAGCCCGTTGGAGGGCCGTTGGAGAGTGCATCGCACATTCCACACATGCACACTGTGGGCCCGGGACCAGTCAGCTGCTAACCAGGATAGGCAGCAGCGGCAAAAACACCCAGTGGGCCGGATAAATTTATCCCTTGGCGCAAGTCTGTCTGGTGACTCTGGACAGGGACTTCATCCTGAAACATTGACATAACCACAGGAAGCAAATTCTTTCTGGGTGGAGCTATTTTACTGTGAATTTCTCATCTTCTCACTGCCCTCTATTCTTACTCCTCCTCTACTATGGAAGGAAAGAAAAGTATGTACACCTGGAACATAAGTCACAGGTTTTATAGATTTAGAGAATAACACTAATTTGGCTGACCATAGAAAATTATCGTTTTCGTGACAGGGAGCAATTACTGGTAGCTAATCTGAATTTCTTTCACAGTATTCATTTTTGAGTGCCCTCCGTGTGCCAGGCACTGTGCTGAGCACAGGGAAAAACAGCTGCTAACAGGCTACTGTCCAGCAGCTTATAGTGCAGTGACGAGACAGACAAATGACAGAAATTATAAGAGAGGAGGTAGCCCCACTTCCCCGAAGGGTGGGTACTGTGTGTGTGTGTCTTCTTTCTTTTCTTTTCACAGTTGTATATTATACCTCTTGGAACTCTACTCTATACATCTAAGTTGTGCCTGAGTAAAATTAGAAATCTATTAGTGGACAGTGAAATTTGAAGATGAGGGAGCCCAGTGATAAATTTTATTTAAGACTTTGCTTTTATGTGATTTTATTAAGAATTGAGAAGATATCCACTATTTTTCATAGTCCTTCTGTATGGAACTATTACTTTTTCATTTCCTTATATTGTGAATAGATTAACGTTATCTATCAAAAGGACTTTTTTTTTTTTTTTTGCTTTATGTATTTACTCTGATTTGTTTGATTATTCTAGGCTGGAAGCCAGGATACGCTAAACTCCATAGCACTGAAGTTTAACATCACTCCCAATAAATTAGTGGAACTGAATAAACTTTTCACACATACTATTGTTCCAGGCCAGGTAATTATTTTCTTGTTAAATATGACTAGAGAATTGTGCATGTATCTTTTATTGCCATTTTTAATGCCTCGCTGTTAGCGTCACAGGATTGTCTTCAATATTTCCTCTCCTTTAAATCCAAGAATTCTGAAAGCACCCTAATTTTTATGACCTATTCAGAGACGAATACATTGCAAATGATTAATACAGCTTGTTATATGTATTGTTCATTTATATAGTAGGTGTTTCCTAAGGCATCAAGAGAAGTTCTAAATTAATGTGACTTTTTTTCTGTTGACTATAACAGATATTCTTAGACTGTTTATATTCAGAATTGCAAGTTTCTACTTAGTCCATTCCTCTGGGATAAATTTTGGCCATTGTTTTATTTTAATGTAGGCAGAATTTTTGAGATTTTTGTCTCAATTTGATACCATGACAAGAATGGTCAACCTGGTCAAAGACAGAGGTATATTCAGCAGGACTATCCACAAGAGGCCACCCTGGGTTTTTTTTCCAGGTTTTTAGTACAGTCAAGTGCTGCATAATGACATTTTGGTCAGTGATGGACCACATAAGATTACTGTATTTTTACTGTCCTTTTTCTAAGTTTATATACAAAAATACTTACCATTGTGTTATAGTTGCCTGCAATATTTGGTATGGTAACATGCTGTACAGGTTTATAGTAAGGAGCAATAGGGTATAGCATATAGCCTCAATGTGTAGTAGGCTGTACCGCCTAGGTTGTGTGAGTACACTCTATGATGTCAAACAATGACAAAATCACATATTGATATTTTTCAGAACGTATTCCCATCATAAAGTGATACGTGACTGTACTTTTTTTGTTAAACTGAATGGATTTGACAAATTATGTAATTTTGCCACACTAGGTTAATCCAGTAAACTTTTTTAAAAATACCTTCTACATGACGAGGTAGTCTTGCATCTCCACTTTAAACCATGTTCAGCCAGTAAATTTAAACGGCTCAGTCACTGAAGGAACTTAGCTGAGGCCAAGTCTCCAGTCCCCTCCATAGAAGTACCTGGTTGCCATGAGCATGTTTGGGTTCTATTGTTAATTTAGCAGGGCATCTTCCTGCATCTCTGCATTACAGTGACATTTAATTCTTTCAGAAAAGATAATGCTCCTTTTAAGCACAACTTCATTCAGGCAATGATGCTGTTGTTCTTTGCATTTCTTTCAAGGGCAGCACATGAAGGCAACAGGGTCACAAGTTGGCCAGTTTGTACTATAGTATTTTTGGTATTTATGTTCTTGTGAAAAGGAGAAATTAGTATACTGCCAGCACCAGGTAATGTGTTTGTGTGGTGGGGGGAGATCTGCTTTAAAACTTTTCAAAATTAATAAATTTTAATCTCTAAGATAACTAACAGACTTTAATCTCTTTCATTGTGGGAGTAAGCTTAAATTCACTAGTTAAAGGCAAAAGACTGTAGTCACAGGAATGTAGTAAAATAATTTGAGGTGATTCTTTATACTATGTCCGTAAACAAAATAGTTGATTGGTGCTAGATTAAGGTACAATATCTGATAGGAATATCAGGGCTGTTTTAATATGCTTGCTGTAATGGTGAAAACACTAGAAAAAGGAGCCCCAAACCTTTGTTTCTGTTTGGCTTTGTATTAGCTATATGACCTGGGCAAGTCACTTCCTTTTTTGTATCTCAGTTTCCTAATCTCTGAAATTAAAAGTTGGGCCACATTATCTCAGATGTCCCTTCTAGCCTTTGTTGGGGTGTACAGCCCTTACAGAGTTAAGTAGGTATGTGCTGTTAGCTGTCCCAGGACTCATCTATACTCAGGATTTTTGCTGGTAAAGAAAAGGGATTGAGAAGAATGAAACAGATTGAGGGCCTTTCAAAAACTGCAGATGACCTTTTGATTTCAAAGATTACAAAATACTCTATTTTGGTGCCTGAAGGGGTAGGTATCCCTCTCATCTCAGTAGATCTGATAAATCAAAACCAGTTTGATCTGCTCTGGTTTCAGAAAATGTGAGACTCATCCTTCTGGAGACTGATTTGATGATCACCTTGAGATAGAAAAGAAAACTGGTCTGGCTGGGTCAGTGACCTCACGTAAGAGTGATTTTAAGAGGAGGTTACCTGAGAGTTTATTAAACTAAAATCTTATTCTAGACTTTTTTTCTTTATATCAGAAGACAAAAAACAAGATCAGACTCACTTAAGAAAAAAAAAAATAACTGAGGCATAAAATGTTTTTCAGAAGGTCCTGAGTTTGGCTGTTAGTTCTCTATACTTAACATCAAATTTTAGGGCACATATAAAAAATGGACCTCTACAAGTACTTTATCTTGAGCACACTAAAAAATTATACTGTGGATATATACTTTAAGATGTTTTCATGTTCACAGGATACCGTGGCTACAGATGCTTAAACTTTTTTTCTACGCTAAAATGACAGCCTTGCTTTTATAGAAAAGAATTTTAGGACCTCAAAACCACATTTGCCGGTGTTGGAGCAAACCCAGAATTATTTTCTGAGGGCAGCAGGAAACCTTCACAACTCCCTGGGATCTAGGCTCACTTCCATGCTGGGAGTAGCTCATGTTCTGACTGCTACTTACCTATATCTACTGTGCAGGTAGCTGTTTAAGCAAAGGAATAGATCTTAGATTCAACATTTAGAATGTGTCAGATCATAGAATCTGAATTGAATCTGTGTTGTCTAATACTTCCCAGGAGTTCAGGTGCAAATATATATATATATATATATTAATGGAGAGTTGGTTGGGGGAAATGTTGTCCATACATTCCTCCAGTTTAGCTATTTAAGGTAAATAAGAGCTGCATACCAAAACCACATAATGTTAGTCCTTTGTAAATTGTTTTTACAGAACTCCAAAATTGGGCATTTGCCACTGACCCATATTAAAGATGTTATAAAGAACAGGCCTCCACAACTGGTTGTTGTATTCACTGTTAGTGTATCATCAAGGGCATAGTTCCATCTAGGACACTCCTTTTTATGAGACTCCATGGGGAGGAGAAACTGGTTTCTTCTTATGTTATGGAAATTGAATTCTGCTCACAATTGATGTCCATCTCTTTGCATTGATTATATGGAAACTCAGAGCCAGTTTTATGACCCACTTCTCAATGAGTGTTTAGTAATTTTGGAGCATTTATTTTCAGTAATAATCAGTCCTTATATCCTCTTGACTTTGATTTTCCCACCTTTATCTTACTGTGTCTTTTATTGTCTCAATTTTTTTTCTGGATTGAAGTGAGAGTTAAATAACTAAAGTTAAAACAGAAATATGGCTGGAAGGATGGAAGACAGTGAATAATAGTATTGATCAGTGATCAGTTATATGATTAACTCTTAATTCTATCTTATAACATTAAAGGTCATCATTTTAAGATTATATTTGACATACACCAAAATGTAGCATGTCTCATTAAAAGAGTGTTAAATGACAGAATCATAACATTTTGAGAACCAGAATATTAATCAGAAGAGGGTTATTTTGTGCATTTTTGGATTTTTATTTTTATTTATTGTTTCAGACAGAGTCTCGCTCTGTCACCCCAGCTAGAGTGCAGTGGCATCATCATAGATCACTGCAACCTCAAACTCCTGGACTACAGAGATCCTCCTGCTTCAGCCTCCCAAATAGCTAGGACTATTGGCATGTGCCATAGTACCCAGCTAATTTTTCTATTTTCTGTAGAGACAGGTCCTTGCTATGTTACTCAGGCTGTTCTCAAACTCCCAGCTTCAAGTGATCCTCCTACATCAGCCTCCCAAGAGTGCTGGGATTAAAGGCATAAGCCAATGCTCCTGGCCTGTTTTTATTTTTAGATACTGATAGAAGACAAAGTATTGGGATTATTGTATTGATGTTACTTTGTACAGTTTATCATATGAGGACCTTACTACTTTAGAACTCAGGGCCTGCTTAGAGTTAGCAACCCTGGATTGGTTCCATTTCTACCTGACACAGGTATTATGTTTAGAAGCATCACATACTTCTCTCTCCTCAATTCTCTTATGCTGTTAGTCCCTTCACCTGGGGGACTCTCCCACCCTCCCATGTAATTTCTACTTATTCTTCAGGGCTTCACTGGGATCTGCTTGCTTCACATGGCCTGCCCAGAGTACTTACCCATCTTGTTCTCCCCTTTTCTGAGCTTCTGCAGTGTCCACAGATGTGTTCCACACCCTTTGCACTGCACACATGCAGATTGCTGAGTTATTGTTTCATGGATTAGCCTAGAAGACCCCACTTGCTTGTAAGTCTTATGAAAGCCAGCCGGATCTTAGTCATGCATTAAACTGAGCAGAGAATGACTTCACTGAACACTGGCTAGTGGTTTGCCTGATTCTTGGGACTTCTTCATCTCTTCTTTCCCATTCTCAGGTCCTTTTTGTGCCAGATGCCAACTTTCCTTCCAGTACCTTAAGGCTGTCATCATCCAGTCCCGGTGCTACTGTCTCTCCTTCTTCATCAGATGCAGAATATGATAAACTGCCTGTATGTATGCTATGTGCTTCATGTGCTGAAGTTCATTTTTATCAAAAAGATTTTTTGTGAGTTGTAGAATTCAATGTGTTATTGGTTTTTTGTTTTTTTTTTTTTACAAGTTTACATCTGAAATTCTCCCTAAAGAGTTAGGATTAGGTAATTGGAGAATGAAATGCATCCTCTCCAAGAGAAACCTGTTCACATTTAAGATCTCAAAAGCAAAAATGTATACCTCTGTAAAAGTATAAACTCCCCAAGGAAATAGTTCCTTTGTACTCCTTTTTTTTTTCTTTAGAGAATTTAAATTAAAAGTCTAATATGAAGCATTTCATTGAGTTTATGTTCTGAAGATATTTCATGAGCCAGTTTCAGGGGTTCATACGTATACACCCTTGCTTTTTTTAAAAAAATCTTAGTTTTATTTGGATATCTGTTGTTATATTTGTGATATTTTTAAAGGAAGAAGGACACTGCCTTTTTTAATGTTCAAGTTAAATAGAAACAGTATACTTACAGGGCACTTATGTGGCTTGATTTATACACATAATTTGTTCTGAAAAATTTTGACTTTGGAAATTTTTGTTTTCATAAGGATGCTGACTTAGCACGAAAGGCCTTAAAACCCATTGAAAGAGTCTTATCATCTACTTCCGAAGAAGATGAGCCGGGTGTGGTGAAATTTTTAAAAATGAACTGTCGATACTTCACTGATGGAAAGGTATATAGCTAAGCAGTTTGTTTGCTTTTTTTGGAATTTGTGGAAAACTAAACAAGTTTGCAAATTACTGGAAGGGAGGCTACTTTAAAATATCTTACCCAAAGTTTCAGTTTCAGATTTGACAAGCACCTAATAGGTTTCCTCTGTTGGATGCCTGGCATTTTACTTATTGAGGAAACATGATCATTGAGTGAAAAATGTGCTTCTTCGTGATCTTGGATTTATCACTTTGCCTTTGAGTTCTTGGCCTATGGTTAGGGAGACATTATAGAATATGTTTAATAGCAAATGCTGGAGTCAGACTCACTGAATTTAAATTCCAGCTCTACCACTCACTCTGAAACCATGAGCAAGGTATTTAAATTTCCTAAGCTTCCATTTTCTTCATCTATAGAATGGGAACAATTAAAAAATTAACTAATTAATTAATGTGTGAATTAAAAGAGCTAATTCATGTTAAGAGTTCTGCATCTAAACTGGAAAATGGTAAGCTCTTAACCTGTGTTTGCTGTTGACAATGCTAATATTAATGTCTACCTTTTAGTGTTTTTGTTGGTGGTTTGTTGTTTTTTTCCTTCACAAAGAAGAAATCCAACGTTTAGTGAGCCTCTGAAGATGGGGCTATGTTGATATCAAGTGAATTCCTGTGGTCATAGCAGAGGTTTCATATCAGGTTTCAAATAATAGGAAAATATGCTTTGATCTGCATTTCTAACTTTTGAAAATAAGAATAATGCTTAAAATACAAAACGTTTTTTACAAGAGAGCTTTATTGAGATATAATTCACATATCATACAGTTCACCTATTTAAAGTGTGCAATCCATTGGTTTTTAGTTCACATAGTTGTAAAATCATCACCACAGTCAATTTTGGAACATTTTCATCACCCAAAAATGAAACTCCATAACCATTAGCAGGCCTTCCCCCTTTCCCTCCCCTCACCTCCTACCCTCTCCACACCTCCACATCCCAGACACAGGCAATCACTTATCTACTTCATGCATCTATGTATTTGCCTATTCTGGACATTTTTTTTTTTTTTTAGAGAAGATATTTTACCTAAGGAATGGACACTGTTCTTTCCGAAGGTGAAAAGTTCTGTCACAACATTTCAATATTGAGGAAGGTTCCCTTCATATGTGGATTCAGATATACTTCCTTCAAAAAGAAGAAAAACAGCCCACCTCATTGTCCTGTGCATCAAAGTGGAAAACCACTGAGAAAAGCCTTTGCCACTCACACGCGCAGCATCGTCCATGCAGTACGGCAAGACAAGAAAGCAGCCTGAGTACGGTTTGCCTGTTCCTCGGTGAGGTGAGTATGGCTGCCACTGGAAACGCTGCTGATTGGTTAGATTCTATACATTTTATATTTAGTCTAAATATACTTAATTTTATTTTAATAAGCGCCTTCTTTGAATTGTGAGTTTTAGAATTTCTAAAAGGATATTATTTTGAGTGCTTCCGCTAACAGTGTGGTTTAATATACCAAACATTAGAGTTATCATAAGTACTGGTGGGGAACCACTTTCATAACTTTCTACTAGGATTGCTTTTTAAAGGACGGATGAGTGGATATTTTCAATGCCAGCAATATGAGTGTGGTCTGTGTAGGATAAAGGATACCATGGAGCCCGGGCCGGTGGTCACACCTGTAATCCTAGCACTCTTGGAGTCTAAGTGGCTTGCAGATTGCTAGGTCAGAGTTCAAAACCAGCCTGACAAAGAGTGAGACCTCATCTCTACTAATAATAAACGATAATTAATTGGCCAACAATATAGTATAGAAAAAACACAACTGGCAATGTGGCGCATGCCTTGAGTCCCAGCTACTCGGAGGCTGAGGCAGCAGATGCTAGCCCAGGATTTGAGGTTGCGGTGAGCTAGCGAGCCATGACTACATCTAGCCTGGCCAACAAAGTGAGCCTCTGTCTC